GAAATAATGCATTTATTTTAATTTTAAATAAAAAAATCAAAAAAATTGATCCAGAAACTTTGGGATGCGATATCTCGCGAACCACGGAACCAATCTGGACGAAAATACCACCATTCGATTTGTCTAGTCTTGGTGAATCGAATGGTAATATTTTTATTTGGATGGGATCCATAATTCGCAAAATATCATGTCCCAAAGTTTCCAGATTTTTAATCAGATTTTTATCAGATTTTAATCCAGAAATTTGTTAACAAAACTTGTAATTTTCCAGAACTAAAAAACTGGATTTTTTTCTGATTTTTGTCTTTTATTTTTTTTTACAGGACAAAAGAGTTTTATGGTCTCAGTTGCGTTATATTTTTGTTCTTCTGTTGACATTTTTCTGCTTGCGTACATAATGACATATTCTTTTCCTTCATTATCATATTGAGCTAATACAACTCCTAATCCAAGTTCAGAGACATCAGTAAATAGGGTGAATGATTGTGAAAAGTCTGGGTAAGCAATAATGAACAGTGAAATAAGATGTTGCTTCAATATGTCAAACGCTTTCTGTTGTTTTTTCATCCAATTATAAGATTGATTTTTCTTAAATAGTTTATGGAGTGGTGCTGATATCTTTACAAAGTCTTTGATAAAACGTCTGTAGTATGAGATGAGATCAATGAAACTGCATAATAATGTAAGATTGATAGGCATAGGAAATTCTTTAACTTTTTCGATCTTTGCTAGATCTGGTTGAATACCTTCTTTTCCGATAATATAATCTAAGAATGAAAGTTAATTTTTGGTGAAGTGGCATTTGTCTGGTTGTAATCATAATCCAGCTTGTTGAAGTTTGTTCAAGACTTTTTGAATATGTTGAAGATATGCTTCAAAAGTTTCTGAATATATAGTGACGTTGTTACGATTGGAAAATTATATAATTTATATAATTTCCATAATTTCCATAATTTCCATAATTTTTATAATTTTCATAATTCTTATAACTTTCATAATTGTAATAATTAAAACAATTACAGTAATTACAACAATTATCATCATTTACAACAATTACCATCATTTACAACAATTATCATCATTTATATAGTATTTATTATTTATCAACTTATATAATTAATCATAAATGTAATATTTATTAATAGAAAATATTTATTATAAATAAAGTGCA